GAATTTCTGGGAGGAACTGGAGTGAGGGAAAAGCGATGCCTGGGGGGGGTGGTTTGAGGATAAATCCAACTGGGATCAGGAATCACAACCCCTGAGTGACCAGCATATTAACACTGACCGAATAATTAAATAGACCCAGTAAAAATAAACCATTTCAATCAAAATAGAGAAATAGCAGAAAAAAAATGGAACGTTTGGAATGTTTCTGCTTCCCAAAAAAGGCATATCTTGATTTTTTTTCAGAGATTTCAGTGTTTACAGCTCCAACAGCCTCTCCTTTTTTAATGGAGCAATTCAATTAAAAGCCACCAGAACAACAGCAACACCCCACAGAACTGGTCAAATCCAGTCCCCTGCCCCACTCCAAAGCCCCCAGCTGGGAAAATTTGGGTTGTTTTACAGGAAACAACCGAGCATTTCAGAGGCTGGGGGAGAAAGAGAGGGAGAGGGGTCATGGAGGAGCCTCCAGTAACAAAAACATCACTGCGTGAGCAAACTGAAAGGGTGCCCAAAAGCCAAACAAAATTCATGTCACCCCAGAGCCCAGACAGAGAGGGGCTGTTTAATACAGAGCAGCTCATCAGAGAGAGTTTAAACCCGTGGTTGGAGATCCAGGGCCATCAGTGATGGATTTTCTAGCCCCAGGAATATTCCCCTCTGATAGACGATGAGGACAGAACTCCGGGGTGGTGCCAAGGTGAATTGTTTGGGTGTAATGAATCCAATTAGTAACAAAATAATTGGATTGAAGGCACCATTAATTGGAGAGTCTTCATTGGCAGTGCCTTTCCTTCCAGGTGCACACAGAAACCTTCCCTTCCCAGGCACTAAGGAAAGGGCAGTAAATCCAACACCACTAAATCCATCCTGTTTGCTCCCTCCTCTCTGCATCCCAGCAGCAGCTCCGATGATCCCCGTGCTCCTGCAGTGCTGGCAGAGGTGACAGGTACCAGGCACTGACAGCTCTGGGTCTGCAATTTGCCACTCAAATAATGTGTTATTGTTGTTCTGGCAGTGCCTGCTGGGCCCAGGGATGGGGGGCTCCTGAGGAATTGTCCCTGCTCTAAAATGCCTGATACAAAGCCACGAGGGAAGGTAAAAGGGAAGCAAAAACACAGGTCAGACCAAGCTGAGATCTCTGAAACGTTCCAGCTGAGCTGCTCCAGGAGACCTGGCTCCTGAAAGGAAACGAGCACCAATCCTTGAAAACACCACCTCAAACATCCCTCAGCGTGAACATTTGCAGTTTTTGACCCTCCCAGCGCCCTGGGGGTGGCAGGGACAGCCCCTGATGGGAGTTGGGGGCACAGAGAAGCCACCAACAAAACCAGAAGGGCTGGTGCTGGCAGCGGCATCCAAGTGCCCCAAAGCCTGGAGGATCCTCCCCGCTCCATGAGCTGCATTCCCGCAGGTCCTGCCTGCACTTGAAGCTGCATTATGCATTCAGCACAGGGCTGAGAGAGTTTTAACAAGAGCCCGGCTGCTGCTCAGGTGTGAAAAGAAAGGGCCGGGTTTTCAGCAGAGATCAGCCCGGCGGGCAGGGACGCGCTGCCGGGGACATGTGGACATCTCCCAGCGGGAATGTGGCGCGCCTGCAAAAAACCCAGCCTTAATTGCAGGCGGCTTGGAGCTCGTCCCCGAAGCAGGGAGGGAGCCCAGAGGGCGAGGGAAGAAGACAGGTCTCAAGTTCGGAGACGCAGCTGGAACGAGGCGAAGGAGGGAGGGAGGCAAAGAAAGGAGGAGACAGATGAGAGGTGGCAGCGGTGGCAGGAGCTCAGACAGAGCCCAGCCGGCTGCCAGGGCTCACCCCGCTCTGCTCTGCGGCTCGAAAATAATTCCACAGCAGTTTCTTTTCCAGCCAGGCTGCCGAGACAAAGATACCAGCCGAGATTGTGAGCGACTGAGCAAACAAGCGGCAGATGAGCAGCGCTGGCTGCGGGCAAAACGCTACCTGAAAAGAAACCCTGATTAGGAAGAGAGCAAAAGATGCTCCGGCTGATTGCAGATCGACTCCTCGAAGTTAATTGTTCACCAGATTGTAATCTGGGGCTTTTGCATCTGCATTAATCAACAGGTTGCTTTCTGCTCTCGGTTTTCCCTTTGCAAACAGCAGGAACAAGTGAATTTAGAGGGAAGCAAACCCAGCAGGTCAAACCTCTGCGTGGATGGAGTTTGCTGAAAGCAAGCAAAGGGCCTTTTTTAAATAGAGACCTTTTGTTGGTGTTCTACCTGTAAAGAAGTAAACCAAGACCATGGCAGAGAGCAGGGCTGACCTTTCTGGGTGTCAGTACACGAGTTGCACCCAGCAGAACTCACTCCAGGCTGGCTTGGGATCTGCTCTGAACTGGCCCCAGAGCCAAGACCCCCTGTCCTCCTGCCTGGAGAAGCTGCTTTAAGTTTGCCTCAATTTCCCTGACCGTGGAAGGAGAATTTGGGAGGCTCCTACTGAGTATAAACCCTCTTGGAAACTCTTACTGTTATTTGACATGATTCCCAAACACGCATCCCAGATTTTCTGGAGATTCTCAGGCCTCCTGGCCCAAACCTCAGGTCTCTGTGGAAGCCAGAGGAATGTCTCAGGCTTTACAAGGGTTGACCAAACATTCATTTCTCTCCAGAAGGCCAGACCAAAGGGATGGAAGCAGAAACGTGGATATTTTAATGCAGACACGACCTATGGAAAGCACAGACACAGGTTTCTGTCTGCCCAGGTGGCAGGACAGAGAGAACAGAGGGATCTCATGGCCTTGGGAGATCAAAACTCAACTCTCTGAGCTACCACGGGCTCCTTGTAACACCTTGAGCCATTTTGGCTCCCTATTTTACCATGTGCAAAATGCAGCTGCCTTCATCTACCTCGTCTAGATCCAGTGCCAGCAACAGAAGGCAAAATCTGTCCCCTCCGGCCCCCCTGCTCAGGGCTGTACCCTGACAAACAAGGCAGTGACACTGGCAATGAATGCCCGTGAAAGGCAGCAGATAAAAGCTGATAAAGCCAAAGATTTAAAGCAGCTCGTTGGGGAGCCAGTAAAAATCAGCCAAGCACATCCAGCTGCATTTCAGTCACCTGTAACCCCCGAATATGTGACACCATCCCTTGGCTCTGCCACTGGCTCCGCAGCAAAGCCTGTCTGAAGGGTCCATTCAGGGGCCACAAAGAGCTTGTTCACTGAAAGGGGCCTTCGTGGCATTGAGAGGAGGATTTTAGTGCCTCCACGCCCAGCCCTGCCAGCATCCCAAAGCCCTGCAGAGCTCAGGGAGCAAAACCTCCCAGAACAAAGCAAGGTCAAGTGTTAACAGATGGGGGGACTCAGACATGGGGATATGGTGGTGACGTGGCCAAGGTCAGGCAGAATCTGTGGCAAGGCCGTGGACAGGGACAGATCCTCAGAGTCCTGGTTAGTTACAAATTTTCCTCCCTTTCTTCCTCTCTGTCCAAGTAGGATAAGAGAGGGGGAACTCCCAGCTATTGCTGGCGAGGTTGTTCCACTGCTCGTTTATTAATTTCTCTCATTTGGTCACGGTACCAATATTTTCCAGCATGGGTGAGTAAACCTGAGTGCTTGGAAACAAATCTGCAAGACCTGCCATCAAAAGTGGTCCTGTGTGGAGAACGGGCACCAAAACTCGCTCAGAAGTTTTCTGGCTTGACAAGAGCCTAAAAAATCAGTGCCCTGTGAGCTGGGTGCCTCAAACCTACCCACAGAGATGAAGTTTCATGGGTGAGGTGCCAGCTGGTGAACCAGGTGCCCTCCTATTCCTGCCTCTGTTCCTCCTGGACGTCCTCCTCTAGGACATGTCACCTCCCACGGATGGATCCTCCCCAGGGAGGAAAGGATGCTCTAATGTACAAATGCCCTTTGAGACCTCAGTATGCCCCCACTGACGTGTTCCTGCTGATACAAACTGCCCAGTTATCTGTTTGCACCCAGAGAATCTTTTCGGGATCACGGGAACCGGTTTTCATGACCTCTCCACGGATGGGGTGACCCAGATGCCCTGGCAAAGCCCCGTGAGGCAGGAAAACAAGACTCTGTTTGCATTTACCCCTTTTCAGCTGTGGGGAAGCAACATCTGCAGGTTTTTGTGCTGCCCCATGACCACTGAGGAGGAAATTAATCCTGTTTTCCTTGCAGGGTCCTGTCTGAAGGCACTTGCCCTTTCACAGATCTTACCCAGAGGCTCTAACTTTCTGCCTGATGCTTGTTCAAAGCTCTTCCCCTTCAGGCACCTTCTCCAAGCCCGACACACACATCACATCACACTGTTCATCTGCTTGATGCACAGCACAAAACCCACTGCCAGCAGCCCCAGGCCTGACCCTGATGTTTCTTCTTTTCAGAGCTAACGCCCCTATTGTGCCAACACGCTCATTCCAGGTTGTTTTCATGGAGAGATGAGCCAGTCTGCTAAAGCCTGACTTTTCAGGAGGCAGGGCTGGCACGGCAGGGAGAGCAGCTCTCAGGAGCGAGGAGAGGGACAGGCGTTCTGGGGGGAGTTCTCCCACATCCCTGGGAACTTGTCAGAGCAACAGGCAGTGCTGGAGAGATGCAGCTGATAGTGACAGCCACCAAAAAATGCAGCGCAAGGGGAACGGCGGCCAGCCAGCGGCAGGGCTCCTGTCTGAGCCGGGGAAGCCACCACACAGACCCTGGATGTCACCCCTCACCCCGGGAACTCTCCCACTGGAAGGGTCCCCCCAGGACCTTCCCAGCGGGACCCACGCCAGGGGTGTCTGCCAAAGTTTATAGTGAGCAAAGCGTTGACCAAAGCTTCCTAATCAAGGTTTAGGACCAAAACACGCGCAGGAATCTCCCGCAGCAGGGCACAGACAGGTATAAATTCTCGCTGCGCTCCGTACCGAGCTGAACCCTCCCTCCCCATACCTCCAACTTCAGCTCTTCCCTCCCCTCTCACTTTCCGCCCCAAGCAGTCCCAAAGGCAGCGGGGCTGGCGGGGGGGGCGGGCAGGGACCCCCATCCCGCCGCGGGGGCACTCACCGAGCAGGTCGCTCTCCCTCCTGCCGTGTCCCTTCCTCCTTCCTGCCGCCGGCACCGCGGGGCCGGGGCAGAGCCGGGGCAGAGCCGGGGCGGCGCTGCGGGAGCCGCGGGGCCGCTCCGGGGCCGGGCCGGGAGCGGGGCCGGGCTGGGAACGAGCCGGGAGCGGGGCCGGGCTGGGAACGAGCCGGGAGCGGTTCGGGAGCGGAGCCGGTGCCGGGGAGGGTCTGGAGCGGCGCTGATGCCGGAGCAGGAGCGGGATCAGAAGCGGTACCGGAGCAGGAGCGGGTTGGAGCGGGTTGGAGCGGTGCCGGTGCCGGCTCAGGCGCGGAGCGGGAGCTGGAGCGGTGCCGGTGCGGGACGCGGTGCGGGAGCGCTGCCGGCGCTCGGCTCGGAGCGGCGCTGGCTCCTCCCCGCCGCAGCCCCGGGATAAGGAGCCCGCTCGGCCCCGCTGCCCCGGCAGCGCTGCGGGCAGGGACACACGGACGCGCAGGACACACAGACGCGCGCACACACACACACTGATCGCAGCCTCGCAGCCGGGTCAGGGGAGTTCCCTCCCGCGGCTCTTCCCACCCGTCCTTGAGGCTCTTGGCGGATGTGCCTGAGCGGGGGCAGCCCGTGAGAGCGGGACCCGCATCCCTCGGGCGGCCGCGGGGGTTCCAGCCTGTGTGTCACTCTGTCGGTGGGGTTACGTGTTTAGCAGCGGCTTCGCCATCCATTCCAGCTACTTGTTGTCTTATATTTAGTCAAACATTCTCTGTTTGCCAGAAATAGAGCAGCCATGGAAATAAATCAGGCTGACTGGAGGTGCCAACATTGTCTGTCTGAAACTAATTAATTTCTTATATCCTCAGCTATATTAGTCCTCGCCTTCCCTCTACAGACCATCCTGTCTGTCAGCAGAGTTGCTGTAATTAGTGGGTATCGTGCCTAAATCTGGGGGATGTGCAGGAGGTTTAAGGTGGCAGGGGAAGGCAGAGGGATGCCAGCAGGACACCTGGACAGGGAAGGAACAAAATCCATCTACACCGAGTATGGAAAGTGGGAACACAGAGGACACAGCACAGGAAAGGGGGCAGAAGTTCTCTGTGGGGAAATCCTTTTTGGGGGGAGCATATAGGGTCTTCTCCTTTCCAGACACCTGAGATCCCACAAGCCTGTCCAGGAGACACAAATTTGGGCTTTCTGCTGCTGACAGAACTCCTCTTTCCCTTTTCCTTTTGGAACGTGGGAGTCTCGTCGGACTTGCTGACTCTCCTTTCTTATATTAGAACCATCAAGCTTTGCTGGGAGACACTTCGAGGAACAGGGAAGTGGCTCACAGATGGTGTGGCAGAAGCGTAAAAAGCCGAGCCCCCCGTGGAGGAAAGGGATGTTTTGCCAGGCCCCATTTTGTTTGTTCCCTTTAGCCTGTCCCACGGCAACCACCAGCCAAGACCTGAGGCCCTCGGTGGTGATTGTGGGCTCTGTGAGGGGGGTCAAACATTCCACACCAGCTCTTCAGTCAACCCCCTTGGTGAGCACGTGAGCTGAGCCCTGTCTGAGCACTCAGGGGGCTCTGAACTGGAACTGCCCCTCCAGAAGCAGATGGGGAGTTCACACTTGAGTCACGTTGCCCCAGCTGGGACGTGGTGACTTTTGCAGCAGGGGTGAGAGCCTGTCCTGGGTGACACAGGGCGAGCAGATCATTTCTCACTGCCTGGAGCTGCTCGTTTCTCACCTGCCTCCCGGAGGATTTGCATCCTTTGCTCTGCAGGGCTCAGGGAGGAGCAGCAGAGGGTGAGACCCAGAGCTGTGATGTGCCTCTTGGCTCGTGTGGCCGCCTGGCCTCTCCTAACCCCTGGTCAATGAGTACCTGGTCATGTGGGTGCACAGTCAGCTCGGGGTGAGTTGCCCATCACGCTCCCTTCATGCCACTGGCTGCAGAAATGGGCAGGTTTTCCACAGCACAGTGTCCAGCCAGGCTCTGGAATCTCTCTGACTTCCCTATTCACCCTGTCCATTATTCTATTTAAAGAGGAGATGTCACCCTGCGGGGGGAGATGTCTCGAACACTTACATGCCGTTCCCAGCACAGCCTCGGTGTAACAACTGCTGCCACACCCCCCCATTCCACGGCTCTGCGACCACCTGGCACTCTGAGTCCGCTTTGAAACAGAAGCCAAAGGAGACCCCCAGCAAAAACCTCTGGGAAATTAAGGAGAGGAAGGCCCCAAACTGGAGCTGGACATGGAAACCAGCTCGAAGAGAAAGGGCAAGAATGCTACAAGCAATTAGTGGCCAGAGACATGAGCTCAGTGGTTGTGTCACACGAGCTGCTCATTGGTGCATAACATTCCTCCTAAACATAAATTACAATAATCAACATGCCAGGGATTGCTGTGAGCCTGACAGGGATGGCTCCGGAGAGGGAAAGCACCCAGCTGCTGCAGCCAGCAGGGATTGCTATCCCTGCCTGTTCAAAGACTGGAGGGGAGGGGAGGCATCAGGGTGTGATGGATGTTCCCCAGCATGTGGGACACGAACACGGCACATCTGCCTGGCAGATTGATGTGGCACTAACGAGGCCCTTTGCTGTTAATGGGGCTGGGGCTGCTCCATTGGGAACAGCACAAAGCAAAGTGTCCCTTATCGGGTGCCCTGTGAAGGGCTGAGGTCGCTGGTGTTGAACTTGGCACCCACCTGAGACGCCTCTGCAATCCCAGCAGTGTGTTTCCAAGGCAGAGCCTCGGGGCATTTTCCAAACATGCCAATGTAATGGCTGAGCAAAAGGCAGACAGAAGCGCTTGTTTTTTCGTGAGTTTTTCTAAAATTACTTTGGGTTCCGGGGCTGTTTTTTCTCCCTTTTGTGTTGTCACAGTGGAATCACCCAGCCTCGCAGAGGTCCAGGGGAAATCAGGTGTGAAAAATGGGCTCATTGTAGTTGGGAGAGTTTCATAAAAAAATGGGTCTGGCTGGGAAACTGCAAAACTTTCTGTATGTCCATGGCTGTGACCACCTCAGCTCACACTGGGGGGGGACTTTGCTCAGCACATCCCTCTCCTCCTCTTCCTTCTCCCAGTGTATTCCACACTAGGAACAGTTATGCAGTTCCTAGTGTGTCCCTTGCCTGGGGCAGCCAGGGGAGTGCTGGGTTTCATCCCCCAGCTGTTCTCCCTTCTGAGACAAATTGCATCTTTTGAAGACAAGGGGGGGCTGCGCTTCCTCCCCGAGGTGTCTCCTGTCACCTCCCTGCAAACAGCACCTCAGCCCAGCTGCCTTGGGCTGCAGAGGGGAGAGGAGGGGGAGGTGAGAAGGAGGCAGTGTTGCAGCAGGCAGAGAGGCCTGACACACACCTGGGTGCTCCTGTCTTTGTGGGTGCCACATCCAGGCAGGAATGTGATGCAAATAACCCGGGGTGACGGCTCTGGGCTGTTCTTGCCCTCAGCACAGTCCCAGGATTTCCTCTGGGTAGAGGCAATCCTGTCTCTGCTGCACACCAGAGCACTTATTCTTTTCTTTTCCCATCCTGAAAAGCCACCCCCAGTCAGACAGCAGCCCGAGCTGCTGAGCTGGGCTCATTCCCCAGGCCAGGAGAAGTTGGTACCTGTGTTGCACTGGATGCAGGTGGGAGTGACTGCCAGGAGCCACTGCAGCATCCTGAGCAGCATTTCAATCACAGCCCCCAGGGGTTTGCTAGGGCTGCTCCTCTCCAGAACCTTCCCTGTCAGCAAACACCACTGCGGGGATGTGGGATGGTGAGGAGTCAGCACAGCCTTGGGGGCACAGGGAGAGCTGCCCCAGCCCCAGTGTCACACCACAGGGGCAAACACAGCGTGAAGGACTCCACTGTGCAGCCCTTGTCCCTGTCCAGACATGTCCAGGGACAGGGATATGGGGATGCTGCATGGACTGACACAAAGCTGGAGCCCGGGCAGTGCCTGCCTTGTAAAGCTGAGCCTGCCCCAGGCCCATTCCCTGCGTGGCTCCTGGCCAGACACATTAAATCCTCTGCTTCTCCCTCACATGGTGAGGCCCCGGTGGGGACACTCCATCCAGGGCTGGGAGCTGCCCTTGAGACAGCCCAGGGCAGCCTGGGGAGGGGGGACAGCTGGAGGGCTCCAAACCTGCCTCAGGAGGAGTCCAAGGCAGCTCAGGCTGAGCAGAGGTGACAGCGATCTCCAAATGCACAACAGAGCAGCCCATCCCCTGTTACAGCCACACAAAGTGCCCTTTGCTGTGAGAACACCTAATTTTGGGGTGTAGGGACACCTAATTTTTGCTGTAAGCTGCTCACTTCCATTTAATCCCCGTGCCCAAAGTGGGGAGCAGCCCCAGCCCCCCCTCCCAGAGCACACACAGAGAGGCAGGAGCTCACCTGCACAGCGTCCAGGCTGGAGGGAAGATGTCAAAACACACTAAGAAGTGACACACCCGGCCCAGTAAGAACCAGTTAAGAAAGATACGACCTCCCAACAGTGCTGTACCCAGCAAGGCATCACTGTTTCCCTGGGGAGAGCTGCAGAGCTCCAATCTGCAGCCCAGTGCTCTCACATAGGAGCCCTGGCAATCCCAGTAAATACACACAGTGTATTAAACCTGACAGCTCCCACTGAAGCCTCGGAGAAATAGCAGCAATGTGAACGTGCTTGACTTCTCCGGGAAGCCCAGGGCAGCTCTAGGGGGGGGGGGTTCACCTGTTTTCCTCCTGCAGCTCCTGCGGCCCCACTCCCTGCCACACCGAGCAGTGTCTGGGCTGCAGAGCCCTCCAGCAGCTCAGGGGCACGTTTTTTTCTCCGCTGCTAAACTCACATGGCCGTGCATGTGTGTGCTGCTCCGAGGAGAGCAGCTCCCCGGAGGTCTGCAGGGAATATTTTACAGTCACTGCATCCGGGCAGCAGCAGCAGCAGCTCCCTTCCCCACTGCCCTGACATTCAATAGGCACCGAGTCATGGAAAGAAAATGTGTTCAGTGCCTCCCCTGCCCCGGCCCGTCCTCCCTTGTGCACGGGCAGGCATGTGGAAATCATTGCCCAGCTCTGCATTTCGGCAACAATCAGAGAGGGCTGGAGTTGAAAGCTGGCTGCTAAGTCGAGGAAAACTGGGCAAATG